GACAGCCGAGGAGATGTTTGAGATTTTTGAGACGATGAGTACGAACTCGTCACATAAGAGCACTCGAGGCAAGAGAGCAGTAGTGAACGAGGTCGGTACGAGCAATGATATGGTGGCCCAACAGCTAGCTGAGCTTACTGAGCAGATGAGGTTGCTTACCGCACGAGGATCTCAGTCGGTTAATACATTTGCTGTTGATACATGTGGGGCGTGTGGAGTCCCAGGGCATAGATCCGAAGTGTGCCCCTCATCATTCGAGCAGGATTCAGGAGAGCAATATGCAGATGCCAGTGCCTTACAGGGATACCAGAACCGACCAGTCAACGACCCATATTCAAACACGTATATTCCCGGATGGTGGAACCACCCACACTTCTCGTGGCCAAACAACTCAAACACCCTTCAGCCACCTCATCCGAACTTCATGCAGCAACAACCTCGACCCAACATTGTGCCCCGGCTGAACTACCAGCCACAACAGCCACAACAGCAGCAGAGGGGACCGGAAGCGGGGTCGAGTTCGAACCTCCAAGACGACATTGCCAAAATTCTTCAATTTATGGCCACCAGTGAGGAACGAAGTGTCAATCAGGAGGCCTCCATCAAGCGTATTGAGACGCAGTTAGGCCAACTGGCCACACGGGTCGGAGTCCTCGAGACTGAAATGAACAAGGGGAAGTTGCCCAGTCCGCCGGAGCATGTGAATTCAGTGATCGTTATTACGCCCGACTTGGAAGAGACGATGGTAAACGAGGGAGAACAAGAGGCAGAAGAATATCCAAGGAAGTTAGAGCAAATAGAAAAGGGTCCAGCGGCACCACCTTCCGTGCCAACTTTGCATAAGTCCCCAAGTCCTTACAGACCAAGGTTTCTTCACCCATGCCGACTCTTGGAAGAGAAGGACAATCAGCTGATGCGGGACCTATACATGATGTTGAGAAAGGTAAATGACAATGTATCACCTTCTGATGTGTGCAGGATGATACCGGCCTACGCGAAGCATTTCAAGGAATTGGTCAAGAATAAGAAGCAGTTAGTGAGTGCCGATGAGGTGGTGGTATGCGAGGCGGCAAGTATCTTACATAGCGACTTGCCAAGGAAAGAGAGAGATCCCGGGGGCTTTGTAATCAACATAGCTTTCGGGAATGAGAAAGAGACCTCGGGGATGCTCGATCTTGGAGCAGGAATCAACCTAATGCCACTCGCAGTCTATCGACAACTTGGACTTAGTGATTTGAAGCCTACTCGAATGCGCCTATAGTTAGCCAACCGCTCGATACGTCAACCCGAGGGCATTGTGGAAGACGTGTTGGTTCGGGTGGGGAAGCTGATAGTCCACGTGGACTTCGTTGTGCTAGATATGGGGGATGTGTTAGAGGACGGGAGGCAATACACCATCCTTCTCGGGAGACCCTTTATGGCGACCACCAGCACGGTTATTGATGTGAAGAAAGGGATCGCGAGC